AAATCTACTAAATAGACAGTACAGTGTTCTTAATGTACAAACAATGTTAAGAACTCGGTTCTATAAATCTTGTATAAAGTGATCTGCCTCTCTGTTTGTTTTGTTAAGACTCTTTGAGTGCAGAGCCTTATACCCTTAAAGCCATCGATTTCTTCTCAAGTCACTTTGTAGCATGTGTTCCTTCCAAAGCTCGATGTTCTTGTCTAACAATGTAAAATTACGCCCTGAAAAAGGAATATTTCTTTTAAACGTTGAATTCAAACAAATATTCCATCATGACTGCATCAAAATTAGATTACGTCATATTTTGGTTATACCGCACATCTCTAAGTAAACACATCCACATCCAAACTTTCTCATTTATAATATTAGTAGGATATCATGTATTTTAATTATGAAGCTGTTTTTGGTGGTTTGGGGAAACATTACCAAGAGGTTATTTCAACTTTGATTAAATGCTTGATACAACATGGTATTTATTATTATCTGCCATTTATCTCATAATCTATCTTTTGGGATAATGGTGATTAATGTTCGTGTTATTAATTAATAATCAAAAGTAGGGTTTTTAATCGTTCTGAGGATAGGACATTTTTATTACTTAATTCAATAAAGTAAATATATTTATTACTGTGATAAAATGCCTTCATTCGTGCATACTTTTTTTATTGGTGATGTTTGTATGACTATAATGCCACTCGTTTTAATGATCATACAAAAACTACGTATGACTGGCTGGACAATAGCTGGTTGTTGGGTTTTAATTTAAACATCGAAATGTCGTTACAAGTTCAGCAAGTTGGATTTTAAACATCCCTTTATAGCCTCTGGTTTCAACGGAAGTTAATTGAAAGTATGAAGTAAGTACAAATAGTAAACATTTTGGAGAATTCATCTTTTTTTCTAATGTGCTATTAAGAGTCCATGGAGGCTAGCGGCCATCTTGGATAATTTCAAACAGCTGCTGAAGAGCTAATTATCATAATATTTTTTTTTTAACTATTCCTATTGTTTTGAATGTATTTCCAAGGGAGTATACATGGAAGCCAGTGGTCATCTTGGATTTGCCCCAAGAGCAATGTTAATTTTGTTATTTTCAAACAGCCGCTGAAGAGTTATTTACCACCTCAAAATCTTTTTTTAAATGCCAATGTAATTGTAATTTAAATTTTTAGTATACTCTGTGAGATTAGAAATTATTTGCTTTGTAGTTTTTTAATTGTTTTTTTAGTTAAACGTCTATGCTCCAAGAACTCCCCCGCCGGAGCAAACCTGTAGGCTTCCATTTTTCCCATTTTTCTCACTGAATTTTTACTCATATTTTTCCTCCAATACTTTTATGTCAGATTTATTCCATATTTAATTATTAAGGTCTAACGAGTACCTAGGTTTACTGCCAAGGGGAAGGTATTTATTTTATTTCTACTTTGATATACAAACAAAAGATTCACTAAGATTGGTTGGAACGATTCAAAGCTGAAAATGCTTAATTAAAAATACAAAATGTCGGATATCTAGTTAATGAAGCGAATTTGGAAAACACTGTTTCTTGATTTCCTCTTTACTTTGACCTACAGAACCATTTCTATTAGTTTTGCTTTACGGAACACCCTGTATATTTGATGAGAACATACGGACACCCGTTGTCGGTCCCGGGTCTATTTATCTCCGTGCCACATACAGTAGCTTCTTCCCTATAGAGAAATTTGCTAAAGGAGTAAACATGATTAACAACTAGTAATTATTTTGCACCCCTGTGGAATGGTTCTTGGCTGTTTATCCCCCCACCCCCTTCCTTCCGGAATATTCCCTGGTGCATTTATGTAACTAAGAGCAAGGATCATAACTCGATGCATCTATTAGACTTTGAATAAATAATGCACATTGGTTTCATAAGGGAAAAAAACTTGATCGCCTGTATTTTTCTACATAAATTTTATGAGAGTTAAATCTTATACGGTATTATTAAATCAAAGAATTAATTTCATTACTTTAATAATGTACTCGTTGCTCAACGAGCAATTGTGAGGTATTAGTATAGAGGGTAATTTGAAATAAATAACTCTCACAACAATCTTATATATTAAAACGTGGTACGGGCTTTCATTCGCAGATCAATCAATCAATTAATCAATCATTTTTCCGATTTTCATAATTCTTCTGTTGACATTTTTTGAAAAGGGGGGAATGCGGAAGCCACCATTTTAATTTCGGGTTTCTGTTTTTCAGTTATTGAATTTTAAATTTGGAAAGTTTTTGACAGAAATGCCAATGCTATACAAATAAAAATACTCTGAACCCACTATTCTGAAACAAAATAGTTCTAGACAAATACTTCGTTACCGTACTGGATCACAGCTAGTCAAGTCATAGTTATTTACTTTTGCGATGAGAGTTTCGTATTTAGTCGCTGTTTTATGAGCTTTAGAAAATTTGAATGGTCGTCGTCATTTCAGTGAAATGAGAAAAAAGAGCATAAAAACTTCATGCCTTAATCATATAAATAAATAAATACTTTATTGTCTTGACAATATAGATTGTATCGACAGTACAATTAGGTATGGTATTAAATAAAACACTTTAAATTTTGATGCATTTTTCATTGAAGTCTTCAATAGAGTAGATTGGATTTTCAGTAAGGATTTGTTTTAATTTACTTTTGTATTCTTTTAATTTTAAGTTTTGAATATTCATTGGTAGTTTGTTAAATAATTTTCTTTCGTTGTAATAAACATGTTTTTCATAAATATAGCCAGGAATAAACTAGGATTACATAAGAACTCACTTTCAACGTGTGCATTAATATCGGTTCCGGTTGTTAATAGTATATCTCGTAGGCTACCTAGGGCTGAAAATGAGGTTTTGCCGACTCGAGATAGTTCTTAAGTTCGAGGCGAAGTCGAGAACTTAAAACGATCGAGAGCTTCAAAACCATTTCTGTCCTTGGTACGAACGTTATTTTTCACCACAATATACCCTACAATTATCCAAACAATTAAATAAGCTTTATTTTTCAGTAATGGAAATATCTGTAAACATCAAAGGTGCTTGTTTTAGTTACGACTTAAAATTAAATTTTCCTCGACATCAAGGCATTATGGTGCATGTGACAACGTATGGAGACAGGTAGTAAAGCCTGTCAATATGTCATGTTACAAAACCAACCACTCTTGCAGCTGTTAAATTTATAACTTGCGGAATATATCCATTATCATGGTCAAAAATACATTTAGTTCATACATTGATGGACATAAACACATACTACAACGTACAATATCATTTGTTTCAAGTTTGACTATTTTATTAGCTAATCTAGCTTTGATAGGAAAAGGCTTGGTAGTATATAACAAGAATGCAAAATGTCTTTGCGCTAATAAATGCATTGAACTTAGTTAGCTTTTTTGTGTTATATCTGCATTCATTAACAACTTAGTTAAGGTGAATACTTTGTCATGTTAATTAATGCAGTTCCAGTTTATGGTTTTTAGATTTCAAAAGTGTCTCAGAGTTTTACCCTTATACCGGTAACCTCCCAGTAGAAGCAATATCAGTATTTTATGCAAACATTAGACGTGGCCTTACCCAATGTTCTGTGACCAACATGTTTTCCATACATTTTCACTCTTTGGTGAATAAATAAACAACGTTTTCGACTCTGAACTTAGTTTTTCCAGCCGTGTAGGTTCAGTGTTCAGCAATGCTATATGCCAAAAAGTGGTTTGATTTTTTCTTATAATCAAAGCCCAGGACAATTAAATATTGTAAAGGCTTTTATAACCATTTCTGTAAAAAACTCATACTGTTACATGAATATGCAGTCATTGAAAACTTTATTGCAGTCTATGTATAGACTACACCACGCTACACATTCAGAATGGATTTGAAATAGGTATTAACAAAATTGTACTGGAATAAAACTACAACTACAGTACCTATGCAGCTGAATCTTCACCATCGTAGGGTATCAACGGTGTTAAGAAAGTCTTAAGTGGATTTGTAACACCAAATGTGAGTTTATTTATCGAATAGGTGCATTATGGTCTTTTGAACCATTGCATTAAGGACCAGCAAATTTGGCACTCGTTAACACATCAGTCCAGGATTTTTCCGCTAACAAGTAGATAATTTGCCGGTGTTATTCACAACCCAAAAGGGCCTACGAGCAACTGATAGTGTCAAACTACAGAACTTGGTATCTTCAGTACCGTTAGTTACACGGTAAAATGTTTTTGCCATTTGGGCCTAGCGTAGGGGGCTTGGGCTAGCTAGCCTTTAGCCTAGCCAGTCAAAAAAAAGTCAGGATGAAAAAAAAACAAATTATAGAAAAAATGCAGTCAGTTTTTTTACCAGAATGGCAATTAAGTAGAGTGTAGAATAAATAAAAGAAACACCTTCTCCAACCAGGGTACAGGTGTATTTGACGCTACTTTGTATTCCTCGCAATGATTACTTATTACTTATGTGATTTAATTATACTTGCCTTTGAAATACAATTATGATGTTACAGACCACAACCGTAATCTGATTTTGATGAAATTTTTTTTATTAACTTAGTGATTTTTTCTATAAAACCCCATAAAAAACATAGTTAAAAAAATGGCCCGAATGATTATGATTAAAATTTTGTATGTTATGGTCTTTTTTAACTCACAAAACGGTTATGAATCCAATTGATGTATAAATTAGGGTTCAAAAGTTCTTGTAATTTATATAATCACCCCATTAAAACCCTTCAAATAACAAAAATCTGACTTAAAAAAACAGCTCAACCGATTTTTATTTAAAATTTGAAAATATTTTATGGTCCTTAGATTTAAAGAAAATGGTAAAACACTGATTGCTTTAAAAATTACAGTTGAAAAGTTTCAACTTTTGTGATTTTCTCCGTCGATCCCACATTTTACCCATGATAAAAGTTGTTGACAAGCTAATGGGAGAAAGTATGTGCCAGATTGCTGATACTGTTTATTTATGTCCGTACAAGGAAATAAATTACACTCTTAACCCTTAGTTAATATTTATTACATATAATTTACAAAGTAGCTTACAAAAACATTTACATATTGTTATCACGACAACATATGGTAGGGCTATATTATTACGAATGGAAAATACATTTCCATGTCTAGAAACTAAGTAAAAAATTGTCATGCTAGATCTAGTTGTAGGTCAAATTTTAATAAGTTTTCATGATGTGTAAAAAGCATGCTGGAATGAAATATTGTTATCTATTTAAAGGTTAAAAGCAGTTGTTCAATCATCAGTACTGCAGTTACAAATGGGCCGGGTGGGCACAGGGGCACAAGAGTTTTTTTTTTTTTTTTTTTATGGGGGCGCAAGCAAAAGACTCTATTTGAACATATATCTTAAATTGGGTGACAGTAGAATCCTCCTCACTTTTGGTTCCCACTCATGACTCATCACTGCCACTGCTGCAGATTATCATTGACTATTATACCTCTATAGTTAATGATATTATGTCGCTACTTGTTCCGCCTTATCTTTATTTGTAGGCTTTTAATTTTTTATGTTATTTTTTCATTACTCACCAACGTCAGTTCCTTTTGTCAAATTGGGCGAGAAAAATATTAAAATTGTTAGCAAAAAAAGTTACTGTCGTGTTTTTGCTTATGATTTTATTTATGTTTGATGGGGTGGGGGCACAACTACCTCTTGGGCCCATAGTGCATCACATACTAACCACGGGCCTGTTAATCATCAGAGCAGCTAAATTAATTTAACAATCTTTAGAGCTTATAATTCAATAATCAGAAAACTACAATTCACAACATTACAAAAGTTTGAAAAATGTCAGTGTCCTTAAGGAGCTTATATCCAATATGTCTATATATGACTTCATGTCTAAACAAATTGGAAATGCATTGGGTTGGTAACTGAAAATAAATATTTGGCACTGAACAACTAGATATCCATTCAAATTAATTTAATCTTAATTGACAGGTATGGTCAGCCCATACCACATAAAGAAAATATAAATTCTGAAAAACCTCATAGCTTACAAAGTTAAAACGTTAAAAAATAAAAATAATCTTTTATAAAAATTAAAATAGTCCAATGTTTTTTAAGACATTGTATCACCATAACTTTGTTCATAACATAATTTAACAAGACCCTCAAAATAAATAAATGAGGAATGTTATGGCTAAACTAAAATTACTACCTAATCAGAAGAGAGTAGTTTGATTGTTGGCTCTGGATTCCTGTAACAAATACAAAAGCCATTATAGTGTTTTGAAAAAGAGTTTCAAAATACTTCTACCTATAATTTAACCATTTTGAGCTAGCTTTTTATATGGGCAATATTTGAAGATGGGGTTTGGAGAACATTGGAAAATAGAAAATTCAGGAACCTTTACAGGAGACCAGATAATGTGTCCAGGATAAGAAGTTGGAGAATTATGTGGCTTGGTCATGTGAGAAGAAGAGAGGAGGATGCAAATGCAACAAAAGAAGGGTGTGGAGAAGTCAACCAGAACGAAGGTGTCCATTAGGAAGGCCAAGATTAAGATGGAGCGATCCAAGTGGCTGGAGATGTATGGAATATTAGGGGAGAAGTGGACATGGCAGAGGACAGAGGATTCTGGAGGCAGCATGTTTGCGAGACCAAAAATCAACTTTGATTTGAGTGGCCACAGGAGTAGGAACCTCTTCGGGGTTAGTTAGAGGGTACAATAGGGGGACGATTATTTATTTGTATATTTTCTCTCTTAACCCATTTGCATCGGATGCCGTAACAGTACGTCAAGTCCGTGATGTAAAGTATCACGGCTGACGTACTGGTACATCCGAGGCTTGCGAACGCCTGCAGCTGAAAGCAGACTTCCAGCTTGTCAACCACCTGTTATATATAATATTATATGCAGTGCTCGATTTGTACAAATTGAGGTGCCGGAACTGTAACCTATTTAATGTGATTTGTACCTATTTATGCCAATATTTTTATCTTCCTGAAAGAGAGGTACCGGAACTCCGTTCCGCCGCGTTCCCCTGCAAATTGAGCACTGATTATATGTGCCTATGTAGATTTTTATTATGTACATATATATATTGGTTTATACCCATGTACATGTAAGGAAAATAAAGATGTTTTGAATTTTAATTTTAATTTATTTAAATTTGTTCAACAAAATATTACATTCCTTGAATGATTTGATAATTCCCCTAATACAGGCTGGCATGCACCTATTTATATTTAAGTATTATTTTCTGCCATAAAATGCTATAAAACATCATAAAAAATGTTTCAGTGATACTGGGATTTTTTGTAAATAAATAAGACGATGTAAATGGGGTGAATCCTGTTTGGTTACTAACCTTTTAAACTTTAGCCCACAATCGCAGATGAAGCCATCTGGTTCACTCCACAAGTACCATCTCCCCGGTAGACTCGGTAGTAACCCTGAAGTAATAAATAAATTATTAAAACAAAAACCTGATTCACTTTGGAGAATACTGCAAATATCTAAGCAACTTATTACATTGTGTTTTTTTTTCGAATATTTTAGGATACAATTAATTGTCTAAATAAATGAGTAAATTTTGGAGAATGATTTGAACTCAAAGTAAAATATGTAATAGTTATGACAATACTTGGTAAATAAACACAGTACCTGTTCTCCCCACCGGGGGCCCCAACTGTTCTTAACAATCCAAAATGGTAGGGACTTGTGAAACATAGGGTAATCTGAAAACAAAAATAACAAAATAAAACAGTATATCTCACCTTTTCACCCCAATGAGGACCCCAACTGTTCTTAACCAGCCAGTAAGGCAAGATCTTGTGTCTTATAGTTGATCCTGAAAAATATTTATTAATAGCTGAGTAATTGATTCACAAGGGACCGCAACCATAAATACAGTAGTGTATTCCCTGTAGTGTATTACATGGGAAATTCGCTAAAAATACACCAACATAAGATTTTCAACTATAAATAATCTAACTAAATTTAGACTATGTAAACCATCATAAACACCCTACAAATCTTGGTAAAATTATGAGAATTATGACATTTTTAGTATGGTTCACAGTAACAAAGATTTATTTAAGTAGACAATACTAACACTACTGAAAACACTCTGCTAACACTATTTTTACTGCTAGTGATACTAATATATATATATAGATATTTGAATTTGTTTGTTAAATTTACAAATAAAGTTTCAAGTAAGTCACTAATGTGAATCTAAATTATAGGTTCCGAATAACCTTACATTTTTGATTACTAGACTTCAATGATTGATTATTGACCCTCGTTTTGTATGCTAAGATAAAAGTAAACTAACAAAACTTCAATAATCTTGTCATACATTGATAACTTCAAGGACTTTGGATGGCTTCAGCATTCTGCACAGCGTCGGAGCCAGCCGGCCTCGTGATTCCGATTGATCTACTTGCTTTTGAACAAAAGCGGATCTTTGATCAGAACGGTGCTTTCAGTTGCACTGAAGCCTGAGAACGCACTTAGAAAGACTTGCTGGGAGGAGGAACAAGGGAGATGGACGGTGAGGCTCTTTGGGGATCTCCGAAGTTGGTTTGAACGAGAGCACAGAGAGGTAGACATTTATCTCAACGTGACACGGCTGTTTTGGGGCCTACCTTCACAAGATGTGGAAGTCAGCGAGTCCAGAATATAAGTATGGTAACTCCAATTACTATGATACACTGCATACTTGTTTTCCATTAAGTGAGGTGGGAAGTAGTCAGAAGGAATTTTGAAACGGTTGGCCCAAACACACTCATCCATGTAACTCCGCAAAACTCTTTTTACACCAGCAAATGTCGAAAGACTGCAAGTCGAAGTATCTCAAAGTCTTGAGAGGTTTGTCAGGAAGCTTTTGTTGTTGGAAGCTTCACGTTGGACTTTTATTTCTTTAGGGGTTCTCCCTATAACCTTATTAAGGTTCAAGGTTTTTCAAAGTCACCCCAGAGATGCTTGAGCTGAAGCTAAAAATTTTCCAGGAAATTAAAGTGTTTCCTTGTGAAAAGCTGGGACAAGTATTCAATCGAATTTTCAAGAGACTAAAAACAAAAAGGAATCCCAAGAAGGAAAAAGACGTTACTTGAAGGAAGATGATTTCCTTCAAGATTATCTTCAGGAAGATGATACAGACATGGAAAAATGATTCTGTCAAGTTAAAAAGGCATAAGATGAACTGTGTTTTTATCAAATATTTATACATATAGGACTATTTATAAATTTGTGGGCTTTCATTGCCTCCTCCTGTTTTTTTATTTAACATCTAAATTGGTACTTACTGTGTACTCCAAAACCAACCAGCAACACTCCGTGGTCCAATTGGTCCTTGCTGCACAAGAACTTTAAAGGGTGTGAGACTCCTCCCATGTAGAACTGTTGAAGAAAACCACAAATAATATTTTGAAGTTAACAATAGAACACTTCTCTACAAATATTACAAACTGAAAAGTATGTGTCAATCAATGTGAAACCTAATAGTAATATAACCTACCTGCATGGCGTTGGCGTTGATGCCGATGGAGATGGGTCCGTTCTTGTACAGCCACTGAGCTATCTGGGTCTCGTTAGTGGTGATGTTGACAGAGCTGGTCACCGTAGCACGAGCCTCTGTCTTGTTGAACTTGCAGCTTTCATTTTCTGCCTCGTAAGGATACTCGTCCTCCGTCTCCAGTCCGCCGAGCTCCTCTATAGCCTCGTACGCTTGTGTCATGTAGCCTCCCATGCAACCGTCGTCTCGCTTGTCACAGTCCACCAACTCCTGCTCGGACAGAGACAGCAGCTTCCCGTGTCGCAAGAACCACTGGCCTTCCACGTTACCAGTCACTGAGAAAGCCCAGCATGACCCACATTGTCCCTACAGACATCAAACCTTGTAAAACAGAATCACATGGCAGGAGTAAAGTACGGAGGAACTTGGATATCTTTAACACAAAAGGACTAGAAAAATTCAATAATCCAAAAATATGAATCGGATAGGTTTGGCGATAAGGACTTACAAATTAAAAACAACATTTTAGATCAAACAACTGTGTTGGGAGACATATGAATTAGTAACATTTAAGGGCTTATTATATATTAGCTACTGTTTAAACAAAATTGTAGGTTTGCTTTAGTTTTGATATTGCACAATGAGTAAGGGAGGATATAATGAGGTAACCTTACATGGTTTATATTATGGTGTGCAGTATTAGGCTTTATACCAACACAGTGTGATTTTTCATAATAGTTTTTTGGAATATTAATCTTGTTAAAACCTAGTTGATGTTATTAATGTTCATAAGACCCCCGCCGAAGCAAGCCTGGAGAACAAACGAATTTCTATTTGCTTGATTGAATTTTCACTTAAATATTTCCTTAAACATGTCAGATATATGTCCTGTAGAAATAACATTAGGTTTAATAAATATTTAGGTTTGTTATAATCATCCAAAATGACCAAAACTATTCTTGAATTGACCACATAACTTTCACAATAATTACATATGTCGCTCTATGGGCCAAGAGATAAATACACGTCTTCAGCAATTGTTGAATTATGTTCGTTTAGCTTTGAAACAAAAGCAGATTTTTTTTATTAATAGGTGAGTTTAAATCAAATATAAAATCTGATTCTTGAGTTGTACCTGATTCTTGACAGGAGTAACTGCTCCCCGGTCCCTCCAGTCAAAGTCTACAGGCAATGTGACATCTGGGATCTCTGCAGGAGTCATGTGGTGCCTGCTGGGTCTGGGGGCTGGGCCTGTCTTGAGGCCTAAGTACTGCCTCTTGAACTCATTCTCTACACACAGATCATAACACTATGGTTAGAGAAACAATGACAACATTCAGTTATGACAATTATTAATTTTAAGAGTTACAAGCTTTTGGCCCATCACGTACAGGAATCGAGTGGTCAATTTCAGTTACAACTGAAAATAATTCAGAACAGCTACAGTAGATTACTTGCATAAAGATAAATCCTCACAGATTTAATGGGGAAAATCATCTTGTAAACAAATTATTTCTTTCATCCCATTATAGGCATATAGGACATGCATTTTAAATCCGATAATCTTACAATAAATCAGCAATTGTTTTGATTTGAAAAGCCTTGAAGTGATATTGGCAATGGTCGTTTATTAATAAGCATCAGTTATAATTGATTAATTGAGGTAACATAGATTAAATACAAGTTTAAGATCCAAAGTTGTTCTTTTTTATTATGTATATGTGTACTAGTGTACCCTATGAACTAATTTTCTCACTTATACTCTGAATCTTAGAGGAAAAAATTTCACCCATTCCCTAGTTTATTCACTCCCAAAGTCCTGTAAATCACTCATTTGACTTGATTTAGAGCTTTACTATCATAGTCCTTTGTCCATTACCTGATAGATCAGCAAACATGTTAGGTCCGTAAACTGCAGTTCCTTGTTCAGTGTCTTGCAATGTTTGAATTTTCTTTAGATTAGCTCGGAAAATGCGGAGCCGCTTATGATGTTCTTCTTCAGAAGAATAATTCTTGTTGTATATCCTTTTGAACTCCTCAAACATGGAAACGTGGAGAGCGTTGATATCATATTGAGCATCCACAGACTGAAAACACATACAAATTTTACAATTTCACATAATTATAGATAATATCATAACTGATACTTCGAGAAGTGGTTTATATACAATACAAATAAATGAAAATTTACAACATAAATATTATTATTTCACAACAAAAACTAAACCACAAGTTTCAACTAGCAATAATTAAAAGAATGGAAAAGGTTAACAATAAAAAGTAATATCAAATTTAGTACATAATCATAGACTTGTAGTTGGCATTTTTACAATGCTATCATCACCGTAAACACAGTAATATCTTGATAATATCCTGAGATCTCAGGAACATCATAATCCTGTTCTGCGATTGTGGTAAATTCTTTAATATCTGCCGTGGTAATGCAAACATCATCATTGTCCGCCACAATTGCAGCACGACCCTGAACATCTCCTGCAGTCATGTGGAATTTATCATTGTCTTCCTCAATCCTCGCCAAATTTTGGACATCTCCCGCGGTTGTGTAACTAAGGACACCTCATTAAGGTTAACCCACAACTAAGGAAAAATTCTGAATACCTCCCAGGGTACAGAAATAACGAAATAGTCCCTTGCAATAAAGGCAAAATCAAGATTATCTACTGGGGTTGTTTATATATCATAAAGGTCTTCCATGATTGTGTCCAAACCGTGGACATCTCCTGCGGTTGAGTAGGCAATTATTGTCTCTCGTAATATTGGCAAAATCCTGCGGCAAAATATATCTCCAGTGGTCAGGGACACATCATCATCGTATTCGGCAGTCACTGAAAATTCCGTTGTGTAGACATCTTCATCGTCTTCCGTGATCGCGGTAAGATCCTGATTATCTCCTGCGGCAACAAAAACATCAATGTCTCCTCTGATCGTGGCAAAATCCTGAACATATTTTGCAATCGCAGAAAAATATTGAACATCTTTGGTTGCAAAGACATCATCTTCCTCTTCTATGATAACACAAACATTATTGTTATCGCCCGCGAAAAAAAATGTGAATTTTAAGATCGTGCTCGTAAAAGCTCTGTTGGAGTTCGATTTTCTGACTTTCTGCTTGGTACCCAGCTCTGCTTGAAAGTCATAAAACAATACTTTCATCGCTAAATCTTAAATTTCATCTCATTGTTGAATCTCACCTCATCTATTAGAGAACAACTAAACATTTTTTAAACAAGTCACAAAAACTTGTTATGTCAACATACAAATCAACTTTCAAGGTCTCATTATAAAAATATTTTTGTAAAAGTTAAAATTATGTATAGAAAAAGATTATTGTAAAATACTTAAGTAATTAAATAAATAGAATCCAATTATTTATTAAACCATGCCTTATTACTATCATCTGAAAACTTTTAAACAATAAATTTTACTATATGCAATATTTAACAGTTTTAATATGAAAATTGAAAGGATAGGAATGCATCATAATTTGTTTACTAAATTAATATGGTACTGACCCGTTTCATTAATTTACCACAGTGGGCAGAGATAACCTCTTGCAGTTCCAGCCATGGTCTGTCCCACACAACGACATTGCATCTGTCCATCTGGTCAAATAAAAAACACAACATAAAGCATACACAAACATCACCATGTAGTACAAAAGTATTACTTTATAACCAAACAGTAATTCTTCACCTGTTTATCTGAACAGATCTTGTCACAATACTTCCATAAATTTCATTCACTAACACACAGGTATATACAGGTAGGCTATATACAACAACTGCAAGAAATTTCAAATTCTGATACGGTCTCCAAAGGCGATGCACGACTGTTTCAAGCCCAGGAATCTACACAATTCAGTTGGGGCCTGAAATACAGTATTTACTGCCATAGGTTAATAATGTTTGTCTATCTTCAACTACCCTGATTGTATTTGAACGTTGAAAGATATTTTGGTTTATTATTAACATTAACATTAAATTTGAACCTGAACCGAACTGAAAATCAGCAAAGCCAAAGATCTTAAGTAATACGATTGAGAATCATATCCAATTTTTTTCTTTTTAAGAGGTTGGCGGCCTCTTTTAACCTTGAATTTGCTAACCGTCCACATAGACTAACTGCCCGTGCGTGGAAAGTATCCAGCAAAGCAAGGGGTACTTACAAAGGTGAGCAGTACTAATAAATTTTATCGGCAGTGACCAGGATCCGAACCCACGACATCGCTGCCTTGGGCCCGAAGTCCGTGACGCTACCAACTGAGCCACCGACTCACCAAAATTTAAAATTTATAGTAAACATAATACAAAATCATTACGGTATAGCAAAAAAACTATAAAAATAGTATTAAACCTGTTCACACATTATAAAGAACTTTAAAATTGTTTTAATTTTAATCCATAGATATCCACCCTAAATACACCAAATATTACCAACAATGGTGATATTTAACCCAAACCGAAACCAACCAATATTTAATTGTTTTCGTTAGGAAACACTCACCATTGAGTTGTCTGGTTTAACACTGCAGTTTTCCTCTTGACTAGTTTTCGTACATTCAGATTCTCCAACTTCAATTGTCAAATAATATTTCTTGCCAGCAACTGTCTAAAATAAAATAAAAATCACAGCAAAATATAATTTGAAATAGTTACCTGAATGTTATAGTATGAATTTATTTGCAAGCCAAAAACTACCCATGTGTTTTGTAGAAGGATGTAAAAACGAATTTTTATAAGTAGCGTAGAATGTTTGAGCCCCTAATATTGAAAAGTGGTCGCAATGTTCTTTTTAACAATCTGTATGAAACAAACTACCTACCATATTTGTATGGTAAATGCTTTTAAGTAAGCTCAATCACCAAAACAAAATATAATTCAACTACATTTTAATAACAACACATTCATGGTAAGCTTAAAAAATATTTATAAAACTAGGTTACTGTTGAGGTTTTAACAAGCAATATCATTCAACTATCAATTGATGCAAAATAACTTAACTTTTGGAAACATTTGGGTTGTTTGCTATTCAGCAGCTTAGATACGCCTGAACTCAATAATCAATAACTCAAATGAAAGCTGGTGTTTCACTAAAGGTTCTTAGACCAGAACTTGTAACTGTAAGATAATGTAATTAGAACTGGTGAAATACTTCTAAATTGAGTATTAATTAAAATTAATTAAAAGTAATAATTAAAAAAAAAGTTATGTTTTTAGTCAAGTAATACGGTATATAAATGAATGATGATGCTTGATGGCAAATCTGTGCGTGCATACCTTAAAGTTAAAATTATGACCAAAATTATGAAAATCTGTTTTGGGTAGAAGAACCAAACCAACTCGGAAAAGAAAAATCAATATTTTTTAATATGTAGAAGATACTAAAAGTTGAATTGGTTACTGCCATTATTTTAAAGTAATGATTGTTTGTGTTTATTTGTTCTTAATTATTAAGGCATTGAGATTGTTTTTTCAGTCACAAACTTACAGATTAAAGCTCAAATAAGTCAATAAATAATTACTGTACATTTTGGTATGTAGAATTGGGTCCTGCATAGCAACGCTACACATTTTTTAACCGTAGAGCTGGTATGCGCCCGATATCGAGCAAATTAGGCTGCAGCCCAGGTTAAACCCACGTAAAATGCCGATTTTAAACTCGTATTTGACCAAATCTCACTTCATATAGTATGAACTCTTGTCTTGGTTTAAATACCTTTTGAGTATTTAGTCTATCTTTTTCCAATTTTTTTACATATATGAATTTGAATAGATGGTGTTTTTGGCCTCTAGGGACCTCAAAACGAAAAAGTAAATCGGTCCCGGGTCCAGGTCCTACCATGAGTACTACAGTAGCTTATTCTCTATATGGGAAATTCGCTAAAAGGATTTCTTTAGTACCTGAACTTTGGAATCAATGACTCTGACGAGGGCATGTTTATAAACAGAGTTGGAGCTCTTGTCAATGGTTTTGAGACTAAGTCTTGCAGCTTTCAATACCTCGGGTGCCAACGGGTCAATCTGCCTCAGTCCTCCAGCACTCTGCACCTACACAATGTATCAGTTACCAATAGGTATGAAACTAATTGTAAACAACATTTTTAACACTTGCCAATAATAGGTTAAAAATATCTAAGCACCATCCTACTCTCGATTGGACTGATCAGATTTACAAACTCGTTCAATTACATCAGCACTATCAGTGGCCCACAGTCTTTAAATTTATTTTCTAAAAACTGGCTACAGCTTAAACATAACAATGGGATGATAGCTAAATTTTTATTTTAAAAATTAATTATGCATAGAGTAAATACATAGAGTAAAGGCATAGAGTAAAACCACTTTCTAAAAGCCCAATGAATATTTTAACACAATAAAAAAAAATGTAAAACCAAAAAACAAAACTGCACGTCAGTTTTATTATATTTAGATTAACAGATGGAAAATAGTAGTTTATGCAACCATCACATATCTATTGTCTTTACGACACAAGTGCCTTGAAAACTGCTACGAGTGTCGTAAAGACTAATAACACGAGTTGCTTAAACTACTTTATCTACGGCCGTTTTTTAATCACGTTTGTAAAACTTCATTACGTATACTCTTTCTGTTACTTTTTTAGGGGATAGGTACTGCTAGCAGCATTCTTAATATAATACTGTTTCAGGAATCAGTAGACAAATCATAGAAATTTTTGGCAATACTGAATGTATTGAAACAGTTTATTTACAGCATTAAAATAAAAACAGAGACAATTAAAGTATCTCTTAAATTATTTTAAGCATCGTGAAGGATAATCAATAATCAATAATAAGGAGGTGAGTCGACGGCTCAGTACGTAGTACCTGGGACTACAGGCCCAAGGCAGCGATGTTGCGGGTTAGGATCCTGCTATCTGCCTATAATTTGTATCAGTACACTTCACCTTTGTACTGTACTGGCTCACCCCTTGCTTTGCTGGATACGTTCCACGCATAGGTCCATAGTTTATGTCAGGGATCTCCAACCTACGGCCAGCAGGCCACAGATTAACAATTGAATTGGTCGTTACCAGCTGATCAGTTGGCGTTCAAAACACCACAATTTTACCTATTTTCTTTCAATTCTTGAACCCTCTGCTCTTTTTACCACACTAGTGCTTTAAAGTAAATAAACAATGCGGTAGAGTGAATCTTTTCTGTTCTAAAAATTAAATTGAAAAGGCTAGTTTAAAAAGAGTCCCAGGTCAAGAATGTAACTTTTCATTATCAACATGGTAGGCGTACAAAATATACCATAATGATACTTTATCTTCCTAATAGATTACCTAAATATAATTTCACTAAAAGTGTGTTGTTTTATGACTAAAAGATATATTGATTGGAAATCAATCCACATTTTTTCAAGCACAATAAGTTAAGATTTTGGTTGTTAAACTGTGGTTCACCTTGTTGTCTGGAGAATCCTTGCAGTTAAACTTGGTAACTGAGCGCCGGTTCTTCCATAACTGACTCCACACGGTGACATCACACTCTTGAGGTGTCTGGAACCACCAATAATATTATCTTATATTCACTAAATGAAGTAAAAGTAGGTTTAATATCCGAGATGAAGCCAAGGTTGGAAGACATGCGTAGGTTGAAAAAGATTTTAGTATTTGTGACAAATATTTTGTGTTACACTGCACTATTCTGTAGGCTAACTAATTCATTAAAAGTAAATTTTTTAAATTTGTTTACCTTTTTATCAATAAAGTCCCGAAATGGTTACCTTCTTGGCTTGTTATTAGAGTAACAGCCGTTACCGTAACTATGGTGCAACATGTTTTTGGTCATTAGGAGTACATGTTCTACGGTTACGGCGCCATCGTGAACATGTAACACGAAGAGTTGAGGGTTAGAACCAATCGCGTATCAAATTAAATATAATCCAGTTCCAGTCATCAAAAATATATTTTTCAAAAAATTTGCTGATATGTCAGGTCTTGTTCCTACCAACATCCATTGTGCTTCAAATTCATCAAGCTTCTGTGGCGCTTCACCTGAATTTTAGCGATTTCACAAACTTAGCAAACGGATACCCCAGCCGCAGTTATAGTGTATACCACAGTATCTTACAGATACTGTGATTGATTTATCTATACTATAATATGATATTGTTTGCGCACAATGATTTCAAAAACGGCTCCTATAATTTCCTCCAAATTGTTAGAAATATCTTAGTTTTAGGTTAAAAACAATATCCATGCTAGCCACTGTTCTGGAAAATTAGTTCTGGATTAGTTTTTTGTTAAAAAGCAGTTTAAACAACACTTACCCAAGTCGGTGCTGTTACAGCACTAAACTGTTAAGGTGCAGCATTTTAATACATAAACTGTACTCCAGCAACCCAAAAACCAATGCACATCTTCACAATTCATTGTATTAGATGTTTTTGTTTTTATACTTAAATGTTTTCATACCAAGTACCAGAATTTATTGTTTTAAAATCTAGTGTCGATATAAGAAAAAATTCAATTTTTTTACACTTACCGAGTTATCTTTAGGAATGCAATTCTTAGCATTTGCATCGTTTTTCTTGCAGTTTGAGTCTACCACTCTAAGCTTGAGATGGTAATTTATTCCATTGACAACCTGAAAAATATCTAAAATCAATACGGTAATTAATTATACTACCATATAAATACTATACCTATATCATATACCATATGAACTCTGTTGAAAAAGTATCCGACCTTGTTCAGGAAAATTATATTTTATTTAATGCTATAAAATAAATTGCATTCGGTTTTTTTGTAAATTAGGTTTGGCAACAAAACTGGTTTCTTTCAACAGGTTTAAGTCAAAAATGGTTGACTGGCTCATCAACAATCAATATTATTATTGTAAAACACAGTATTTCATGTCTAATGTTAATATTAATTTTCAATTTAGAACCCACTACTTTTTCTATTTTCAGTTTTTATTTCAGTTGGTTGGCTATGACTATTCCTTGTAAAAAGGTCAATGACAATAAAGCTCATGATTCTTGGCCAGAATTGTGCGGGATAACGATAGCGTTTCCGTGATCACAAAAGACGCAGATGATGTTTCCATTACTGCTGAAAAAAGTTTAGACACTCGAGTTTGGAGCTCTACAGAAAAGTAACCAAACTATTTAGAAAAACACAGAATGTATCAAAACTTTTGTTGTTTCATTCTACCTATTCCTGTGAAAACAAATATTTTTTAGCTCATTTATCAATTTTTTATGACAGTCAGAAGGTAAAAAAACCTTGTGTTTAGAGTTTTAAAACCATCTTATAACTTTGAAAACTCGTACATTGTAAACTAAACATCAGAACTTCATCAAACTTCAATACAACATAGACACATATATAATGAATTAACTTGTAACTTTGCAGAATGTCTACTTAACCCAAACAGTTTTTATTGTTAATTATATAAATTAACTTTTTCTAAAAAGCAGCAAACACTAAAAAAAAAAAACTTAAAAGCTGGTTTTTAAGGTAATTTTTTTGGCAATTGGAATATTCATAATGCTCAACCAAATTGTCATGCATATAATTTATATAAATTAAAAATTAACATAAAACTGGATAATCTCGCTATAAATTGGTGCCAAATCTAAATTGTCCACTTCAGAGAATGCTGTTTTTTTTTTTTTTTTTTTTTTTTTTTGTGAGGGAGAAAAAGTAAGTGATAAAGAAATATCCAGTATATCAAAAAGTGCACAGGTTTTTAGGGAAGATCTTTGTCAGTTCACATCTCATCTCTGCCCAGTGCCCAGGTGTTCAATATGGCAACACTGTACTGTAAGCGACTGCACTGGGATGTAAGCGACCAGTCAGAGGTGGCGGCAGTCTAAAGAGCCGTACTCGGATACATCATCAAAATTGAATGTTAATTCTAATTCATATTTGATATTAATAATATGCCTAACAATGTAGTTGAGTGTTATGAGACGGTTTTCCAACTACCAAAACAATTACCTTTTTCATGATGGGTTAGCCTCTGGATCAAAAATTGCACAAAGCAGCAGTGTTTTTTGTGTAATTATTTATTTTGACAAAATCATCCACGGAAGACAGCTATTTTATCTTGACGCTCTACAACCTGAAGATGTGCCCCAGCAGCATGAAAAGCTGTAGTTATCACTTACTACAACAAGGATCGTTTGACGCAAATGGTAACTTAAACCATTTTATATTACAATTACCTTCAAAACAAGCATTTCAAATTTTTTTCTAGTGTTTCCCAATTTTTTGAAAAAAGTTAATTTACTTAATTACAACAAATCTTTTATTATATAATAAATTAATTACAACAAATCTTTTATTATATTTTTATTTTAAGTTTCATTATAAGCTTTTTGGGTTAAATAAAAGTTCTGAAAACTTACAAATTTATTCTATATTGTATTAAAGTTTGATGAAGTTCTGACGTTTAATTTACATTGTGTGAATTTTCAAAGTTAAAAGATGATTTTTTGAACTCTAAAACAACGGATTTTACCTTTGGACTGTCATAAACAATTGTATAAACTAGCTAAAAAATGATTTTGAACAAGTAGAGTAAAACAAAACAAAATTTAATATAATAGGCTCACACTTAAGGGTGCATAAGGGCAACTCCAGCCGGAGCCACCCACCAGGGGCGCTAGTGGTGGGAACCAAATACGGATACAGCTGAAATTAAGTATGGGTTGGCACAACAGGCTAACATTGATTAGTTGATCCCCGATAAATGTGGAGCTTGCATTGGCCAATCCTTATTATAAAGTTGTACCGTGACTCCGACTGGAGTCTTACACCCTGGGATATGGCATGACTCCGATCAGAGTTGTCAGCAGCATACGTGTTAAACATATTAGGCTAGAATTTTGTTATAAAAAAATAAAATTAAGTGCCTTAAATATATTTACCTGAGTCTCAGCAGAAATTAGTTCTACTAAAGTCTTTTTAACGATGGAATTAGATTTTTTATTCAAGTCCTCAACTGCATACTGGGCCATTTCCATAATGTCATCTGAATCGTTTTCAATTGGATGATTTCCTCCAATGGGTTGCTCCTGAAAATGAAATAAACCGTCAATGAATATTCACTAAATATTTTGCTACAAAACAACATTAGATTTACTCAATCTGCTTAATAGTTTTACTTGCAAGTATTTTGTAAATGTAACTTCTGTAATATATTCAAAAAAATTCAACAGAGATACCCATGGATTGTTTCCCACATGTTCATATTTTACTTATTATTATATAGTTGGTAATAATGCAGGGCCGAACTTACCTAGGGGCGGACGGGGCGAGCGCCCGGGGCCCCCGGGCCTAGGGGGGGCCCGAAACGAGCCCCTTGCACAGTAGTTTGTATTAATATCTTCGAAAATTAATCAGACACTTACCGAATGGCCTTCTGTTTTAACAACTTTATTGTCGTTATCCTATATTTAAGGTTATTGTTAGGTGAATTTTAAGGTATTACTAGAACCAAAATTCTAGACTCTAAGGGACTTTTCCTCAGGGTTGCACTGGGCCCCGCGCTTAGAGCCAGTTTACACGAGCATAGCTGCTAGGCTGTGACGGACCAGTTTGAGTTTCAATGAAGCCGTTCACACAAACGTACGGCCGCGGCGATCGAGTTGAAGGGGGCCCCTTCGCTTGGGGCAAAAATACAATAAATAATATGAAAACTCTTGTCCTAACGTAGAACGTAACTTGTACAATTGTGTTGGGTCAAATGGAGATTCAATGGATTTCTAATACTTTTGAAAAATAAAACATTGCTCTGTTTATGTTTTATTAGATGTTATTCTTTTACCTCTAAGTATATGCCAATCACGATTTTAAGGGGCAGAAGTATTATATTAACCATTTAATTAAAAGGTTTTGTAAAATAGTAATTAAGTTATACGTCAAAATTTGGATCTTCAATTTAGTCGTTAAGAGTCAAAATCATAGGATGCATTGCACGACGTCCAAGTGCCACGACGTCCAATAATATTTATTCAGTGCCACGACGTCCAAAACATAATTTTTGAGTTGTTGCACGACGTCCAAGTGCCACGACGGCCAAAAGTACAGTAACTGCCAAAAATATAGTCTTTCTACAAGCTTTGGATGTCGTGGCACTTGGACGTCGTGAAACAGCGCACTATAGAATTGTAAAAAAGTAACATTTGCACGACATCCAAAGTCGCTGCCAGTTGCATGACGTCCAAGTGCCACGACGTTCAATAAATATTTGACTGTTGCACGACGTCCAATATAGCTCAGCGCTGTTGCACGACGTCCAAGCTCCTTCATGATGACCGGTTACGATGACCGGCTACTTGCCGAACAGTGTTCTCTCGTGTAAAATGCTTATGGAACCTTTATTAGTTATATATACATGGGTATATGTTCTTGTTCAGAAATATATATACTATGAATATTTTTACCATTAATTGAAACATCATAAAGTAAAAAAAAAAAAAAAACATAAAAAGAAAAAGAGAGATTTAGACCTTCAGCAACTGATCCGTTTTTTACCTTCCTTTAATTTATTCTTTTTCATGTTGTTCTTCATGTAACATACATAGACTAGAGGGCCGCTCATGCCCTTGACAAATAAATTAACATTTTCGCACAAATACAAATCAATATCGTCATTAGACAAGAATTAAAAAATAAAATGTATAAACAAAACTTACCACGGCATATTCTTGAACAAGTATGCATACAAACCTAAGATAAGCATGTTTGTTATTATTATACTTAACCTACAAATGCATGACTTAGGGCATACCTGCTTTTCTAGATAAAATATCCGAACTAATTGCGAGTGCAACGTGAACTTAGAAAAAGACTAGTAAGAATTTACAACTGAATTTCTCAGAATTGATTGACAGTTCAGACGAACCTATGGCCACAGACTACGGAAACCTACAGTATTATTGTATTAGTATACTGTATTTGTATTATTGTGTTACTAGCAGAGTACCCGTCCTTCGTACGGGGTGGGCATATAAGTATAAATGCTTATTGCAGTTATGGGAGAGGACACGATTTTAAAAAAATGGTCTTTTAATTTATACAGTATCCTATAGTGTAGCACACATCTACCGTAGTCCTGATGTTCTACCACTGCACCTAAACCATGGAAAAAAGTAAAGTTCTCATTGTGTACCACAACTTTTTTTTTGCTAGTTGGTTCAAATTAGCTGTGGTCATTAATGCAAACAAACAACATAATAGTGCTGCACCCTGTTTGGCAAGCCTTATAACTTTTTAATGCTGTTTAATATCATAGAACCAACTTGTACTTGAAACGGCTGACAAAATTCTTTAATTTTAGGGATGGTCAAGTCTCGAAATTTCGGGAAATTTTCGGGAAATTTTAAATCTCGTTACACGAGACGAGATTTCTTTTTGGCCAAGATTTTTATTGAGACGAGAAAAAAAAAAAATAAAAAAAAAAAATTAAAAACGCCTGCAGAAAGTCAATGCAATACCCGCAATACAGGAGCGTGTTGTAGTTGCGTTTCCTTTGCGAAGGCGTTATTATTTAATTAATTCTTTAAATGTAAATATTACTTTTTATTTGAATAATATTACTTTAATAACATTTGAGAAGTTTTGTTAAGTGTAAGCAGTGTAAGGAATGTTTTATTACTATAAAAAGTCAAAACAAGTAACTATTTTATAAAAATTAATATTGCTTTTATTTTATGATTTATTTTATTTTGGGATAAGTTGAACTCTATCCTATTGTAAATAAATACTTGTTAAAAAAAAATTATTTTGTAGGTTTTCTCTTGTTACCATCGATACCATCAATCAATATTTTAAAATCTCTTACCTCAAATTTTTGAAAGCCCACGGGGCAGAACCCTAGGACAATAACGAAGAGGGAATGGTTGTATAATATATATCTTCGGAGCTGTAGCTTCATTTGCGTGCGATTTGAGCCCAATCGGTTCCGTACTTTTTGAGATTATCTCATACAAACACACAGACACACATACACAAAACACACATACACACAGACACCACCTCTTCTTTATAATAGTATAGATAGATAGATTACTATTATAGTATTATATATTGTCTGTGCTATGGCTACGTTTTTATTACTGCATCAGCTGGAGACACTCTGAATATCTGCTTCAACCATTTGTTGTCAAACATTGATCTCGTAAAATAGTGAAATTATTTTTCGTATACACTAATAGAGCAAGGTTTGTACTAAAAGAAAACCTTCTTTTAGTTTAGAAAATACATGTTTCACAGGATACAATTTTAACCATTGTAGTAACACCATTATAGCTTAAAAAGTTGATAAGTGATAGTTCACATGATATTTAGCACATTTGACGGATAAACCTTTTTTGAATTCGTCATTATTATAAGTGTATGAAAATTCATATATCTGTGTATCAATATCTACTTATCTCATTTCTGTTCAATGGAGGTTATGCAATTTCAATGATACCGGTACTTAAATGGGAAGTCTTACAGCTGTTATAAAACTGTGCATACATTTTATCTTACGAGTAAATTCGCTACCAATTGATATAGTACGACAATTCTATTCTACTGCAGTACTTAGAATTCTACCACTACTCACATTAAACCTACCATATTTACTTTTGGGCTAGTGATTAATTTATTGTATTAATCATACAATATAGTGAATAGTGTTGTCATTTATTTATCTCGTTTCTATGACATAACTCTATTTTGTAGAAATCATTATGCAATCATAACAACAGAAATACTGCATCATTACATTTTACGGTGACATTGTATTTATTTTACATATAAAAAATTTAAGCTAATGCAATAATTAGTTCAATTAGAACCATTGAATATTGAATAATTTAAACATTAATCGAAGACGAAGCGGTTGACAACTTTCAAACAGTTGACTAGGCCTAGTTGCCTTCAATAATTGCAATGCGAACTGTATGCACTGAGGTCGGCAAACAGTGTTCACAGTGTGCAGGCACTTTGGACGTCGTGGCACTTGGACGTCGTGCAACAGTCAAATATTGATTGGACGTCGTGGCACTTGGACGTCGTGCAACTGGCAGAGGCTTTGGACGTGGTGCAAATGATACTTTTTTACAATTCTACAGTGCGCTGTTTCACGACGTCCAAGTGCCACGACGTCCAAAGCTTGTAGAAAGACTATATTTTTGGCAGTTACTGTACTTTTGGACGTCGTAGCACTTGGACGTCGTGCAACAACTCAAAAATTATGTTTTGGACGTCGTGGCACTGAAAAAATATTATTGGACGTCGTGGCACTTGGACGTCGTGCAACACTCCCAAATCATACAGCGCCAGTGGGCTAAAAAAATCTATATAGACATTTTATGACAACTAGGGTCGTCTGATGTTGACAAAAAATACATTATTTGGGAGCGGGCGAGCGTTGTCGACTGAAATCGTAAAAAAGCAACAAGCAGCTGCAACAATAAATGATAATGAGCTGATAAGGGATCCTGTCTAGTCCCGTCTGTCTCACGCGCATACACATACATACAATGTCTTATCGCCTATCCAAAACAATTTAAATCACTTTACTCCCAGTGTGTTTTTGGTTGACATTGTTGTACTTTTGTGTTGTATTTTATTAATAATTCTGCAAACACTACAAAGAACAAATTAATGTTATATTGAATGTTATGTTTGTGTTGTATTAATCTGAGATATTGAATACATTTAAACATCTTTTCAGTTACTCATATAAATGGTTAGCTTGTGATTGGTTATTAGACTTGTATTGTAATATTTTACTCGTCAAGGAAAAACTCAAACTCGTTAAAGTTCTTAATGGTACTTTTCAAGCTAGGACTTAAACATATTATACAAACGAGAATTCCATGCCAAAACCACTATGAAAATAAACATAAGTCATAGTTTATGGTTTTATAGTTTTAGTGCAGCCAAGAAATGTATGAAAAGGGGGTTTTAATTGCCATGCCAACGTGACCAATGTATCAGAGTAGGAAGTGACATTTATTTATAGGGGAAATAACTATGTTCTAAACCTTATAATGATTAATCTATAAAAAGTAAACTTAGTAAAAGGTTTGTTAGTAAAATTATAGTAAGTTATAAAATATATTAAAGCTTTAAAAGTTTATGCATTATCTCTGACTTACATCACGTGTTTAAATATAACTTATTCCATTAATTAATGTTAGTTATTTTTTATTTGTGTTTTCATTCAAGCAAGAATGTGTATTACAGTAAAAAATTAAACTAAACCTTGTTATTTTATTTTTATTTTATCTATAGTTTTCATTATTTGTTGCAAAGGATATTACATTTTAATGTATTGCAAAAAAATGTGTAAGGCGTTGGTATTAGTTATACTAAAATTTTATAAATACAATTACAACAAGAACAAATCATAACATAACACCGTACATTGTAGCTATTTTCAGACTTAAAATATTACATAAAATTAGTTTATGCAAAATACAGCATACTATTCTAACAGGTTTACATATTAATTCACCTTGAAATTGCCTATTTAAAATTAGTGTGCATGTAATATGCGTTACATTGTGTACCGTATTTTTTCTCGTATAATCATACTGGGGGCCCCATCGGCAAATTCGCCCGGGGCCTCTGAAGTCCTAAGTCCGGCCCTGTAATAATGTATAAAACTTAGTACAAAAATTTCAAGTTGATATATGTGAAAGTTATGTGTACCTAAAAACTGCCATTTCAACATGGGCGGGATAGGGACTGAATTAACTCATCTTCCAATAATTCTAGAAATTAACTTTTACTTGATAAATTCAATGTTTTTACTAAGTATCTGCTTAAATTAAACCAAAGATAGTTTTATAAAACTAAGTATTTATAATTGACTTAAATTTCTAGCATCAATTGAAAATGTGAAGCTATTTTTTAGTTTATTCAGCCAATTTGTTTGTACTGTATCTGTTTTTGTTGGTGGTAAATCTAATCTATATGCCACGAACTACTGAACGGGTGGACCTAGAACTCTACGACTGATTTGGGGGTTTATGCCTTGACCAGTTTTGGGGAGAAATTAGCGTCATAAGCCTTATGGGGGATGGGCACCCCTGGTACCAGGCTTTTAGTCTAGTAGTTTAAGTTATTGCAGACCCTGGAATTCCACCCAGCCTTTGTAGGGTGAGCTACCTGTGCCAATTTGTGACAAAATTTCCCCTCAGGAACATATGTCTCAAAACCTTCAAGAAAAGCAGAACAATTTGTCTAAGAAAAACAGCTTGGTTATTAAATCGGCTTGTTTGTTACCATTAAAAAGGTTACGTGAGTGTGATGTTAACTAGGACATGAGCTTTTTCCCTTTAGTAAAAACATGTTATATCTAAATTTAATAAAAACATGACAAAACATTAAAGATCACCAAGAGTTAAACAGGATGGCCACTGAAGTCCTGGAAAATTGCTGCACTTTTTATCTCGGTCATTATACCCAGTTGATAAAATATGCCGTTTTACCTTACAGCTTTTATCTATTAACATAATACTCACTCGTCGTCTGCGGGTTGCAGTAAGTGTCTTGCAGTTGGCTGAGGTCATCTCTCTGTGTTTGTCCCAAGGTCTGTCATACACCACCACATCACATTCCTGCACTGGCTGCAAACAAAAACCATTATTAACTGCATAATTACATATTTGTCAAAAGTGTTAACTAACTTGCTGCAAAAGACAGGAGTCATTTTCTTGTCTGCAGTACACAGAGAAACTTAAATATAACTTTGTTAAAAATGGATGTATTTTCATAAATCCACCAAGAAGACATTTATAGCAATGATTCATTAGCAGGATAACATAGAAGTTATTAGACAACATACTGTTCGAAGCACTTTAAATATATTGGTGGCCAAAAGGTATGAAACAGAAATGTATGATGTAAAATAGATTATCTTTTTAAACAAGTTTTTATCATAAAGTAGAGCAAAACATTTTTTTATGGCTTTACAGGATGACATACCACTTCTAATTGTCTTATCAAACCAGGTTGAAACTCATCCTTATTGATGTTGGATTAGACCAAAGTTAATAAAAAGTGGTGCTAACATATGATATGCTAATGAAAGATTCTAAATATTTATCCTCAAGTTTCCTCAAAATCACATTTGCTGCCGGCCTTGTTGGGCATATGAGTAGAGCCTTCGGAGAACTACCACACGTCACACACTGGATCCGCTTAGTTCATTCCGCTCAGCTAATCTCAGGTCAGACAGCTCAGTTCTGGCAGTTTTCCAAACACTGCGACAGTTCGGTCTGCTCAGTTCAGCTGTTTTGGAGCGTCAAATAACAGTGGACGACCGACACTGTCATTGTTCACAAGTAAATTATTTGTGCCGGGGTTTCCGATAGTGTGATTATGAGTTCCAGCAGTAGTGGGGAAGTAATTGCTGTTGAAGAGGATGATTTCATTGTATATTTTGTAATCGTTGTGTGACAGGTCGTACAGCAATGGATACGTCTGTACTACTGAAATAAGTCGTTCATTAATAAATAATCACAGTCCGCCTTCGGCAAACACGTGTCAGACCACCCAAGTTCAGTTGCACAACACTGACTGCTGTACTCTGCACATGCAGCGCCTCCAGTCCTTCCGTCGCTTCTGTCCAAATCGCTCACTAACCAATAAGTGGCCGAGACGGGAGCGGATTGAACTAGGCTGACAGAACGGATCCAGTGTGCGGCTCTACATTTTTTGAATACATGGTTTTCAAAAATTTGCGAAGCTACTAAACTGAGCGGACTCAGTGTGCGACGTGCTTAAGTTACTTATGCAAATTACTTATACAAAGAATAGAATTTGATAAAGTGAGGGATACACCACTTCCTTCAGATTTGAATTAGCCAAATTGGCTTAGAAGAAACGGAAACCTTATTTATGGACAACCCTTGTAATTATTATCCAACTTGAACAAATTTGACAATCATCTTATTAATATACGGCCACCAATAACATGAAATGTATATAACGAGTTTTCATTACCACGTTGTAATGCAGCATTCTTGACTTACCTTGTTTGATGAGCTACTACAAGCCTCATTAGTTTCAGATCCCTTGCGGCAGTTTGTTTCTACAAGTTGTAGTTTCAAATAATAATTAGAACCAGCAACAACCTATACAAAAACACAAAGACAATATGGTAAATAATAATAATTTAACTGTAACATTGACAAATAATGTAGGAGATGTTGCTACTAAAATATTACAGCACATTTTCATTTTACAACAATCCTATATTTATTTACATGTATGCATTAGTTTAAAAACTAAATATAACTAAATATAGTAAATAAAGGCAAATCAATGTTGATAAAACAGATTCAATTGAGGAACAAAGTGATTGAGTTTTGCTGTTGAGTAAAGACTCAAAATCTAACTTTTTACAGTACATTTTGAAATAATGAGAAAACTTGAGGCAAAGAGTACAAGAATGAGACATAATAAAGATCTTAGAATTTATATAAATACTAGCAGAATAATGACAATTTAGGTTTAGTTATTGTCCTTAATTACATCTGACCGAACTAAATTAATTGTTTGACCGTAGAGTTAGGGTTACTCAAAACTGGGAAAAGGAAAAGGGAAAAGGGAGCCTATTTTTCAAACAATGAAAAAAGGAATTTGATAATGTTGGTAGAAAAATACTTTTTTCAGCCGGGATAAAAGAGTGGATCTTGATTGTCAATCAGTTTTTCGCGATCGCTGATCACATACCCGATACTAAAATACTAGAGATTAGAGATACGCCTTTACTAAAAACCTTGTGGGATAACCTAAAGAAAAAGGCAAAACGTTTTGATAATTCATATCTAGTAATAAAATTAATTTTGTCTTAGTTAAATCATTAACCTTTTCTCTTATCCACCTATAGTTCAGCAAACAACACAGGCTACTCTTCATCACTATCACTTTCAAAAGCTAATTCGTATCGTACTCTTCTAGCATTTGGCCTTTCCATATAAACTTAAAACTTAAAGACAGCTGATATTTAATTAACGAAAGATTAAAGAAGTTAACAGGTCAAAATTGGGCAGTTCTAACGACGGTTTAGTCTGAACTAGCTCTAACGGCGAGTGGTAAAATCCAATTTCGTCAGTTACAAGCTAACTGCAGTTAGAGCAAGGCTTAACGGCGGTTTAAGTGTTTGGTGAAATCGGGCCTAAGCTGCCAGATAGAAACTAGGATTTTTATTTTAATACAACAACTAAAGTTTTTACAAAAATACAGTTATAATCAGATTAGATTCCACTAACAAATACCTTTTTAAAATTTAGATATTTTTCATACTCACTTGAGTTTGAGCTTCTTTTATTTCTACGAGTTTTTGTGAGTTGAGGGAGTTGGATTGAGCGTCCAACTGAGCCACAGCAAACTGAGCCATCTCCCTGACTCTCTCATCATTCACATCAGCAGGCGTCTTTCCTCCCAACAAGGCCTATAACCAGTTGCCAAACTCAGCTTTTTGCTGTTAAATCTTAGGGATTTTGTATTCCAGAAATACTCCTTACAATTTGTTAACATATTAGGTAGATAAATGTTTTAATGGTTTACTGAATCGTACAAATGGTGTATGTAAAAAATGATTCAGTTAACATGTTCTAAACAATGATGACATGAGAAATCACCATCATTTGGCATACAATAATAGTATACAGGTTGTGTAAGACTGGTCTATTTACATAAGAACCTATGGTTATAAGAGACACTGTCATATAAGTCAATGTCATATAGGCAGACAATGGGGTGTAATGTTTTCGCCCAGTCAGTTATTTCATACTTACTCTTGGTTTTGTAACCATTAGTAGCCTGGCAGATTTACAATCTAGTCTTGCAAAAATGGGTCGATTGCAATATTTATTGGTTCGGTTTTTGGTTTAAATTGATAAAGGGGAATTGTTGCAGGTAAGCGAGTTTTCAAATCAACTTATAGAAAATCTTTAAATTAACTTGACCAATAATCTTTAAAAAACAACATTTTCTTTAACAAACATTTGTTAATTCCTAAACCCTCATCGTAACTATGCAGTGTTTCATTGCATCTTATATGGATGCCAAAAAAGCACTATCATCAGCTATTATAAATTTTATTTAGTATGTATTTATCATTATGTCATCGAGAATATAATCTGTGATCACGGTGATATCACTTACACCCCTGCGATTTCGAGGACATCATCATCAACTCCCGCGATCACAGCATAGGCCCGTGATTGGGCCTAATATAATATTGATTGATAATATTGATTGGGTGATAATATTACCCATGATTGTGGCAAAAATAATAGCATCTCCTGCAATTGCAATTGCAAAGACATAACTATCGTCTACCACAATCAGTGAATCAGAGCAAAGTTTTGAATGCTCCCGGTGAATGCAGTGTAATTAATAACATCATCATTGTCTCCCATAACTGCTACAAAGTCTTGAAAATTTCCTGTGATTGCAAAGAACATTATGAAATTGAGAGCATTTCCCTCTCGCGAGCTGAATGTTTTTCCCAAAAGAGCTATTGAGCTAAAGAAAAGCTTTTTGAAAAACAAACTTTAAGCCTTATTTTCCTTATTTTATGCACTCTAATATGTCAGGGCTAAAGTTCATATATCTGCAAACATGTACAAAATACTCACTCGTCGTCTGCGGGATGCAGTAAGTGTCTTGCAGTTGGCTGAGGTCATCTCTCTGTGTTTGTCCCAAGGTCTGTCATACACCACCACATCACATTCCTGCACTGGCTGCAAAAAAAACTTCCATCATTAACTGCACTTTTGATTCATATATACACAAAAAAAAACAATGATATATGTAAGCATTAATTTGTTCTTAGGACCTTCGCTGCAGGTGGGTTAGCACTGACCCACGGCCATCACAGCGCTTACTCGGCCGGGTCAGTACTAACCCACACTGCAGTGCATCAATCTGTTTCTCAGTGCGAGCCCAGTGTCGGTCGAAGGCGGACTTATACCATGTTATCGAGTAGTGTGTTACTTGCTTTGTTGTGGTTTAGGTTGGTAGTAAATCTACCCATAAAATCCCTGTCTGGCAAGCTTAGAAATCAACTTGTCCCGTCTTTCTCCCTCCAATTTTCAATACAATGGGACCGGCTATGTTCCAAGCAATGCTGCTATCTGTTGATGTTTTAGCGAATTATGTTGACTCTCGTCGTAATACAGTACATCACGGCACGTTATTTGCTATTCGTCAGTCCAAAATTTAAAAGCCAATTGCCCAGCAATCGGGTTCGTTCGACGCTGTGCCACACTGGGGCTACGCCTGCCATTGATGGGCCGCAGCGAATGTGTTAATTAGGTATAACAGTACTAGGGGACTAAGCATTGCTCGTAGTCTTAAATTTGTAGGAGACGTTAAACAAAAAATAAACATAGGTTACCTAAGTACAATTTTCATGATACTATAAAATACAGCCTAATATATGTAATAAAACAAATTGTATAATAACATTTTATCATGCTCACGTATTTGTGCTATTTGCACAACATTTTGTGCACGACCCTGTCATCTCTAGTCATTGAAACCATTGTAGGACTAAATAAACACGCATTACTGACACAGTAAAACATTACCGAAATAAATATTCTGCATTTAAAATAGTATCATTACAGTTTTTAAAACTAAGGCATTGTATAAGTCTTGATGATATAATAGATAATCTCACATTTTATAGTTTATTAGCCTATATTTGACATAGGGTTTTCTCTACGAATGAATTGGCTTTAACTAACTGGTTGATTAATTTCTGTTCGACGCATCCAACAGTTTTGTGCTAGGCCTAAGAAAATGTAATTTTTATTCAAAACTAATGAATTCAACTGATGAATGAATCTTCTTTTAGAAATATAAGTTAAAGTGTAGACATAAAAATGGCAAAATAGTTAGTAAAAACTTCAAATAAACACTCCGAATACTCTAAGAGGATGAGTAAAAAGTAACAATATTCATGATGTGTGGTAAAACTCACAAACATTCCTCCTAAACTTTTACCCGAGGTAATCACTGTTTATTTTGTTTGGGTGGCCTCTCCAACCAGGCTCTACTACAAACAGTTGAACCCCTCAAATGTTGCATACTCTGAGTGAGAAGTGATTTAAACCCATCAGGATACTTTGGCAAATCAACTAACTATAACCAATTGGACAACAACGTTTAATACATACAAAATACCAATAACATGAAATGTATATAATGAGTTTTCATTACTACATTGTAATGCAGCATTCTTGACTTACCTTGTTTGATGAGCTACTACAAGCCTCATTAGTTTCAGATCCCTTGCGGCAGTTTGTTTCTACAAGTTGTAGTTTCAAATAATAATTAGAACCAGCTACAACCTATACAAAAACACAAAGACAATATGGTAAATACTAAATAATAATAATTAATAAACTGTAATATTGACAAATAATGTAGGAGATGTTGCTACTAAAATATTACCGCACAATTTCATTTTACAACTGTCCTATACTAATTTATATTTTGGCCTATGTTCAAAAACTATTTAGCTTATTATCAGGTATTTCAGTAAAATATAAATGAGAAAATTTAAGCAGACTAAGCTGCCAGATGGAAGCTCGTAAATTTTATACAACAACTTACAAAAGTAAGGTTATTATCAGATTAGATTCCACTAACAAATACCTTTTTAAAAGTTAGATAGTTTTCATACTCACTTGAGTTTGAGCTTCTTTTATTTCTACGAGTTTTTGTGAGTTGAGGGAGTTGGATTGAGCGTCTAACTGAGCCACAGCAAACTGAGCCATCTCCCTGACTCTCTCATTGTTCACATCAGCAGGCTTCTTTCCTCCCAGCAAGGCCTAAAACAAGTTGTCAAATTCAGATATTTGCTGTAAAGTTGTAACATTGACTATTGGATACTTAAGTCAAATGTTATAAGCTGTTTAAGGATACAAAATAAGTAAAAACGTTAATTAAACATTTGTAATATCACATTTACAATATTGTTAAGGAAGTAACATAGAGCATGAGGACCAAGTATTTTGGATTTTTGTGAGGATAGCAGGAATTTTTTACATAAAGGCCTACATGCGAAAAAAAAAAACTGTCTCCAAACAAAACAAGACACACATATTCAACAAGACATACTATGTCACATATTCATTGATGATTATACAATGTAAATGTATTTGTCATACTTGGAGTTTGATATAACATAAGTAGACTTATTACAGTTAAATTACTTCAGAGCTCATTTAAAGCCTAAACATCTGATTTGATGCAAATCTGATTAGATGTGCATTTTGATGCCTCCACCACAACTAGTAGTACGCTTATTCTGCGCGTAACAGGATGAGTGAACATGAGCGCAATAATGAAAGAGTTTACCCACACCTAGCACACTTACCGGTGTTACTGGTGTACACAATAATGTTATTTGTATGGACAAATCAACCCATGAGTCGGGGCAAATAATGGTGAGTCGGTGACTCAAGTCGGTAGCGTCACGCGAACTTCGGGCCCAAGGCAGCGATGTCGTGAGTTCGGATCCTGGTCACTGCCACTAAATTTTATCAGTACAGTTCACCTTTGTACTGTACCGGCTCACCAATTGCTTTGCTGTAAACGATCCACGCACGGGCGAGGTTAAAAGAGGCTGGACCAACCTCTTCAAAAAAACCAAATCTCAGTCAACAACAATCTTAACTTCTCGTCCATTAATTAACCAAAGTCATTGGTAATATACGTAACGTATTTCCTGTTTCCCTCTCTTCTCATAGCATTTTATTATTGCAGATACGTTAATCTAACTGTCACAAAGAGTTCCCACACTCTGGACTGTTCACCTTGACTACTTCCTTTACCACTTCCTACGTCGTGGACCTGTTTCCCTCCCTTCCCATAGCATTTTTAGAATTGCAGATACGGTACATTATTCTAATTATCACAAAGGGTTTCTACACTCCGAAATGCTCGCCTTGACTATTTCCATCACCACTTCCTACGTCGTAGACCTGTTTCCCTCCCTTCCTATAGCATTTTAGAATTTCTAATAGATTAATTTAACTTTCACAAAGGGTTCCCACACTCCGGACTGTTCACCTTGACTACATCCTTCGCCACTTCCTACGTCGTGGACCTGTTTCCCTCCCTTCCCATAGCATTTTAGAATTGCAGTTACACTAATCTAACTGTCACAAAGGGTTTCTACACTCCAGAATGCTCGCCTCGACTACTTCCATTACCACTTCCTACGTCGTGGACCTGTTTCCCTCCCTTCCTATAGCATTTTAGTATTGCAGGTATAGTAATCTAACTGCCACAAAGGGTTTCTACACTCCGGACTGCTCGCCTTGACTACTTCCTTTACCGCTTCCTACGTCGTGGACCTGTTTCCCTCCCTTCCCATATCATTTACGAATTGCAGTTACACTAATCTACTGTCACAAAGGGTTTCTACACTCCAGAATGCTCACCTCGACTACTTCCATTACCACTTCCTACGTTGTGGACCTGTTTCCCTCCCTTCCTATAGCATTTTAGTATTGCAGGTATATTAATCTAACTGTCACAAAGGGTTTCTACACTCCGGACTGCTCGCCTTGACTACTTCCATCACTGCTTCCTACGTCATGGACCTGTTTCCCTCCCTTCCCATAGCATTTACGAATTGCAGTTACACTAATCTACTGTCACAAAGGGTTTCTACACTCCAGAATGCTCACCTCGACTACTTCCATTACCACTTCCTACGTCGTGGACCTGTTTCCCTCCCTTCCTATAGCATTTTACTATGGCAGATACATTAATCTAACTGCCACAAAGGGTTCCCACACTCCGGAATGCTCGCCTTGACTACTTCCTTCACCACTTCCTAAGTGTCGTGAACCTCTTTCCCTCCCTTCCCATAGCATTTTTAGAATTGCAGATACATTATTCTAACTGTCATAAAGGCCCCCCACACCCTGCAGCACTCGCCTTGTCTACTTCCTTCACTATTTCCTTCACTACTTCCTACATCGTAGACCTGTTTCCCTATCTTTCCATAGCATTTAAGTATTACAGATACGTTAATTTAACAGTCATAAAGGGTTTCCGTACTCCTTTCTTTTCACTGCTCACCTTTCCGCTTTCTTTACTACTCTCTAGGTCGGGGACCTGTTCCCCCCCCCCTTCGAATAGCATTTTAGTATAAAAATATACCAACATTTTTGAATATTTAATATTCAATGCCAACATTAAATTGAATAATGTAAAAAGCTGCTTTGTTCTAAATACATTTAATTAAAAGGCGAAATTTTAATACTGAACATAAACTGTATATAACTGCCGACTAATATTGTTAAGTTCAATTAGACTTCTCATCCCATTGTAAATTTTGAAGCACGTTTTTCGTGTCTAGTTCATGTACGTGACACATTGGCGCTAGTGTCGACGAAACTTTGTTTCTATTATTTTAGGGTTAATTTCTTGATTTGTGCTTTACTGTTTGGTTATATAATTAGGGGACAGGTTATTGTTTATGATTAGATCGTATTATTTGGTTAAACGACGTTTTAAATGGCTGTAATAACGGGAAACAAATTGTAAACAAAACACGACCTCTACATAAACCGTACAGAACTAACAATAAAATTGTCTTCAGCTGTTCCATAAGGATGAGAAATCTACGTTCAATTTATTATTATGAAAGTTGTGAGATTTAATTAGCTTAAATAACATTATTCTGAAAGCTGTGAAATTATAATGATATATTCATAGACGCCAAACTGTTTACTCCATGAATGAAAGAGCTTAGAGTAAAAGTCGTTCTCTCTGTCTTAAGTAGACAACAAAATTGTTGGCCGCAAAACGTAAACAAATAAAAAGAAGAAGAAGGTAGCTCCTAATGTTATTCTTATGGGACAAATTTAAAAATGTTTTTTAAGTATTTTATAATTACTACTGAGCAGAATCGTCTAGAATTTTAATGGTGTCTTTACACTGGTGTCATAACTATTTGTGCAAAATTTGAACGCTATAAGTGCAACGGTTCTTGAGTTTTAGGTGCGAACACACACACACACACACATACTCCAGCGGACAACTTTTCTCCGACTCCGCTATACACGATACATAGATTCGTTCACTTCGTTCACTCATCTACTAGTTCACAGCTAATTTTTCTCTTATTGAGATAAAAGTGGCAAGTAACGGACCTGTAATGAAACCAAATCTAAAAAAAGTTTTCTGACCTGGACACCGGATTTTGTACGTAATTTTGATGGCCAGTAAAAAGCCCTTAGATTTTATTTAACTCTATTTCCGAATACAGTAGACTCTCAATAATCCGGCAGATTTAGGACTGTGATATGGCCGGATTAGTGAAAATGCCGCATTACTGGAATGTCATCTATAAAAACACCTAAAATGTACAAAACATGTTTGCAAAGATTGTGCAATCGGAAACCGCTATTGACGCGATCTCGCAGGATGACAATTACACAGGAGACGATGGTATTGTCTACACAGCTGCAGGAGATGATCAGAACTGTGCTGCGGTTGCAGAAGATGACAATAATGTCTAAACGACCACGGGAGATGTTCAAGTTTTCCACCGATCGCGCAAGATGACGATGACATTTTTGTGATCGTGGGAGTCAATGATGATGTCTACACGGCCTCAGAAGATAATTAGAATTTTGCCGCGATAGCAGAAGACCATAACCATGATCATCGATATTTGTTTAATAGCCTATTTTAACTTTTGGCAGGCCTAAAAAATTCTGTTCGCAGGCCAGACATGGCTTACAGGCCATAGGTCGGAGACCTCTGCTTTAAACTATATACCTTATATTAATTATTCTAAAACTTGTTTCCTGACTATAAAATGAATATGCTGAGTTCACTCACCCTTTTTTCTCTAGAATTCGCTGGGCTGCAGTTAACCTTTGTAACTTTGCGAAAGTTTTCCCAAGGTTTATCCCACACAACAATGTCACACAGCTGCAAAACCTTAAACAGAACAAAGAATAGAGGAATATTTGATAAGGGTTTTTACAACTGTCAAGTTTCAGTGGTAAATAAAAACAGTATAGCCGACACATACTTTTTCCCATTAGCTTGTCAACAGTCCTTATAATGTGTAGGTGATGAGATTAATTATGATATTTAATGGGTAAAATCAAAATCACAAAAATTTCAATAAAGAACTGTAATTTACCAAATTTAAATCAAAATCATTTGAACTGTTTTGTAAAAATTTGATTTTTCTGTTATTTTATGGGTTTTAATTAAAAAATCACAATTAATAATCAAAATTAAAATATAAAACACCTGGAGATACCATGGATTAAATTTACCCATGGATTGAAATACCATACAGTACCAGGGAGTCACTCACAAAATCTCACCAAAATCAGACCAAAGGTGTAGTCTGTAGACTACTTGCTTATACTTTGCTCTCTGTACACATCCACAAACACACAGACATCACATCAAATAGCCTACTACTTTTTGGAGGTTCAGAGGGGGACCGTAACGGATGTTTCCACTCAAAATTCAAACTTGAACATTTTGAAAAAAACAATACAATACTATGTATGAGGGGAGAAAGTAAACAGATTAACTATATTCGTAGGGTTGGTACTTACTCTGTCGTTGAGGGGGCTGCATGTGCTGGTCTCTTGAGCACTGCCCTTCCTACAGTTGGTTTCTACCAGCTCCAACGTTAACAAATATTTTACTCCGGCAACAACCTGTAAGTCAATTTTAATGTTAAAATGATACATAGATCATTTGTTAATATATTCAAACTCCATTCTATGTATAGAGCCGGATTATCCTGAAGGCCTGCTCTGGCCATGGCCTAGTGTGTCAATTGGCTATAGTGTGCAAGGGATTGTAAATATTTTCTTTTAATGAATATTTTATTTTTATTGTTATTTACAACACCCAGAGTCAAAACACAAAACGTATCAATTTTACACTTGATTGAAAGCTGTCATGGTTTCCTGTTACCCTTACATAAGTAAAGATTTATAAAAACTTATTAGATCAATTATATATCAATCAATATCAATTATTTAAGATGGGAAGCCACAATGTGCGTATTTTAACCCAAGGAAGGATGAGTGGCGCGATCTTGTAGTCTTGTTAGTGACTAAGGCCGACATGTTCCTTAGACACAGCTAGCTGTTAATTAATAGCCCATACAGCCAATGTCAACTAAGCGACCTACAGTTTATAGTGGAATTCAAACCACATTTTTCCTTGTAATTAACAAATCGGTCTAATTATCGGGATAGTACTGCGGATAGTCGTAGAACTCACTAGTGCGGTCATTAATCCACACCTGGGAGCATCGCATCCACAGTGCATGCCTATCCACAATTTGTGACCTAGTAGCTAGATTACAGGACAACGCCACCGTCCCAGTCATACTTTTTTTGAAAATTATTAAGTGAAATTAATTATCATTTTTTCACAGCTACAAGAGTAAACATTAGACTAATTAAACCCCCTGGTATGGGGTAGGGACATGCAATAAGCTTGGCTTAGGGCGTAAAAGAGGTTTAACCCTGGCCTCTAATTATGCTCTAGTAATGTATACCAATTTAAAAAAATAAATATCAACAGCACAAAAAGTAAAAATCTGGTACAATATGTTGTACAATACAAGTTCCTTAATCTGAAAACTTGTTACCTTGATTTAGTTGTCTAGCCTCACTAAGTCAAGGTCGTAAAAGTTAAATGACTCTTTATATTAAACGTTAAATACAAATAACTACCACTCTAATTCTAATCTTATAGCCTACCACATAACTCTAAAATGTTAATTTAAAGTTTAAGTTAAAACTAGTGTAACAAACCTGGCTATAAGCTTCAACAACACGATGAATCTTTTGTTTGTTGAGAGAATTTGAAGAGCTGTCGATTTCTGCCAAAGCAAAGTCTGACATTTCTTTGATTTTAACTGAATTGGGGTCCTGTCTTGTTTTCCCTCCCATCTTAAACAAACATGGGGTTGGGGTTAGAAATAGGATCTACTTAGAATATGTCTAATAAAGTAATCTATGCATACATTGTTTGGAAACATAAGAAATCACTATTATGAAGGTACTTTTAGTCAAAATATTTGTAAATGAAATACAGTAGATGCCCGCTAATCTAGCACTGTAGACTCTAGAAACCGCCATTATTGCAAGACTAGCGGAATTACAGCTAGATAAAGAACTAAGCTGACATCTGCCGATTGCTCTCGACGTTTGAACAATCACAACCACCATTTGAACAATCACTCCGCTGGGTATGGGTGGTCTGCCTCACCCTGTACATCAATAAATGGTAAGTTTAAAAGATCCTTAAATAACTTGGGGTAGAATTTGACTGGAAACCTGGCCAGTTGTAGATTATAGAGTTTAGATACTGCAGACTTTTTGGACTGCACTGATCTAAGTGATGTCATTCTAATGAATATAAAACACACATTTATCTAACTAATGATACCATCGTTTCTTCTTACCACTCGATCATGTGAAAAGCTCTTCTTAGACATGGCATGATTGCGGTTGACGACCATATTGCTCTCAGTTCCATCCATAGCTACGATATGTCTTCTTGTTCTTTTTTCTTCCTAATAACAAAAATAAAATAAAGAGCTCCATATAAATAGTAATAATATGTAATACAAGTAAATCATTTTATGAGTGCTGATTTTATATTGCAATTAATACTTACAATATACAAAAAAATTATATTATTGCAAGGTGATAGTCAGTAAGTGCATAATTTCTCTAATGTCAAGAATATTGGGTCAAAATGTTAAGTTCCTTAAATATTTTTTCATGTGATCTTACTTACTCTTCCCCTCTATGTTCAAATCTGTACATTAATTAGATTTATAGTTGTTATATGCTAATAAATCCAATTTTTGTAATATTTTTTATTTTTTATGCATGTTGCAGGAATGGTTAGGGTCTAAAATAAAAGTATAACCTCATGTTTTTAACGAGCCTTACCTTTTTGTTGTCAAATTCCTTGGCTTTAGATATCGGATTGCATTCAGACTTAATTACCTGTAAAAAGTAAATATTTTTTAACCGATAGTCTCACAATGATCAATGTTCTATTTAAGACATAGTACCTGGGGACCGAACTTTGCTCGGGAAACTTTATCACTACACTATACTCTGAGAGTATTCTTTGGTCAATGTAATTCCATCCCAAAAATAATAATTTGTGGTAACTTATAGTTTTTCTTGACATCTATTTAACTTCTATTAAAATAATAATATCATAATTTACTGAAATGATGAGATAGAAGAGTTTTTAACAATTTGTTTGGTTCCCATAAACGGCCCAAACTATAGAAATTACCTAGTATTTTTCACGCTGAATTCGAAAAAGGCTATCAGCAGTAAGAAAATCTTCGTTACTGCAAGAACTTGGACTCGCTCCGAAACCAGAACCGAAACCTTTAATATAACCTTAATATTTAAAATGTAATAAGTTACAATTTTCCGGAAACTCAGGACACTTTCTGACTTAAAAAATTACACTTGATCCTTGTTGGTGAGTACCAAAAAGGGAACTTATGTATAAAGATGGTTGTAATATCCAAGTTTGGTTGTCCTCGATATAATTGCACTATTTTATTGGCACTGACAAATTATAAACCTTTGGAGACCGACCCTGTAGTATATGACACGCTATCTAGGACTGGGGTACTTTGAACAGTTTCTGCAATGTTATAGGAAAAATGCTATAACTTTTGAAAAACAGCCCTTTTTCACATTTCTTCTATGCTGTTCTTGATTTTTTATAACAGTTTGTCTTTTTTAGAAAAAATTAGGGATGATATGAATGTTCGTCTCCTGTAATGATGATAGCATTATGATTAAGAGTATTTAAATTTGCTGCTAAGGGAAAGGAAAAGTGTTTTTTTTATTGGCAATAGTATAGGATCAAAAAAATAAAGTTGCCAAATGTTATCAAAATCTATTCATAAACAAGCTAACTACAATAATTTTATTTTTCTCCTTTTTGGGAATTTTAATGTTTATAGTGTAAACATTTGAAAAAAGAAACAATTTTTGAAAAACTTCAAATTCCTAAACACCCCCCCCCCCCCTAAAACCCCCACCCTTTCCTAAAACTCGATCTTGCTCGTTCGCCACCTCATTCAAGTTTATTCAGTTCTAGATATTCATGCCAAATCTCATTAAAATGGGAGAAAAATTACTTGAGTAATATACATAAAATATTCATACAGTACATCATTATATCAGTAATATCATTATGGAAATAAGTAGGCAACACCTTTAATATGATAAACTTTATGCATACTAAACAAGAGACTTGTTAGGCAAGCTATTGGATTAACAAATGTCTCACTTGAAAACTTGGTTTTTTATTCAAAACATCAAATCTGTCAAAAACTGGTTGTATTGGTTGCAAAGGAGTTATTGCACCACATTGTAACAGTAATTTTGGGGTGTAAAATACTACTTTAACAGCAAGCAAATACTACCTTCATCCATTTCCAGTGGATTAGTGAGTGGATTATACCTGTGCATTACGAGGTGCATCTCCACTGAATAGTCGTTGCATCAGAATCTTACAAATGTTGTAATCAGTCAACTTTCCTTCACATTTCTCTTCATCTTCCTTGCAGTCTGATTGAGCCATCTCAAGTGTGAGGTGGTACAAGATACCATTCACCAACTACAACAACACAACATCAAATATAAATCTAGACAAAGACACTGCAGGTGACAATCTTGGAAATTGTTTACAAATTTGACAGGATATGCAGGTCTGGTTTGCAAGGTTAATAAAGTAAAGTAAAGTAGTGGCTTGTAGGGACATAAAAGTCCCTAAAAAGTTCAAATGTAAAACAAATTATTGTAATATTTAAACAAACTCAGAATCAAAAAAGAAAACAGTACTGTAATTACAAACCTAGAACTTACTATTTACTACGACTACTTATCTAGAGAAAAATGTGTTAAACATAGAATCAGATATTTATGATTTTGCTGCAATCGTGGAAGACAATGATTTCTACAAGACCGCAGAAGATGTTCTTGATTTTTGCCACATTTTCAAAAGATGATGATGAAGTTTCAAAGACCGATGGAGATATTCAGGATTTTGATGCTATCAGGAGTGTACGGCAATCAGGGGTGTAATGGTGCCGGAACACTGTTCTGGCACTGGTTTTACACAAAAGTGGAAATTAAATAAAAGCTGTAGTAGTAACATATTTAATTGTAAATAAATAAATATTTTTACCTGTGCATACACAACAATGTTGTACAGAAAACAACTTAATATAAGTTATATTAAGTATTATAGTATGTTGTAGTATATTATAGTATGTTGTAATAAAAATGTTGTTACCTTAGGCCTACAAATGAATGCAACATAACCTAAATGTTGCCAAAATCTGGGAAACTACACCACTTTGACATGGTCGCTATTCTCGTTTAAAGACATGAGAGATGTAGTAGATGATACAAGAAAAAAAATAATTCATGCCAGACCCAAACAATATGATGAAGAAAAAAAACCCATTAATTAAATTTATTTAGAAAAGTTTTGAAGAAAGGTGGTTAACCCTTTTAGTGCTACAGCGTCGCTGCCAGCGACGATGTATTTTTACACTAAAGTGCGAGCGTCGCTCACAGCGACCATTCGTATTTCGTATAGTACGCATTGTTGCCATGGATGCATTGGCTGGTTAATGCGTCAGTATGTTCCAAAAGCTTTAAATTATCGATCGCCGGTTCATTTCGCTCTTTTACTGTCGCTAGCGGTCAGCTGTTTACATTTCAATTCTTTGTTTCTTTGTGCGCAGTGACGCTTTGACTGACGACGGATAACATTGCGTTTTGCGCTGTTTGTTTTGAAACAAAGTTATTTACTTATTTGTGTATAAAGTTTTGTTTTCTAGTTAGTTTGTGCTCTTTTTAGCGAATTTCCCATATAGGGAATAAGCTATTACCGTAGTACTCATGGTAAGACCTGGACCCGGGACAAATTTTTTTTTTCGTTTTGAGGTCCCTAGAGGCCAAAAACACCATCCGTTCAAATTCATATATATATATATATATTTATATATATATATTTATATATATATTTATATATATATATATATATTTATATATTCATAAAGTCAGCACCATTGTTGATACCTTAAAATGTGCTGCAATTGTTGATACCACTTTCCATCGTATATATTTTTTTATTTTGAATCCTACGTTACAGTGGATGGTATATTATTAAGTTTTATAAAAATTCAGACTTATATATTGTTATATATTTAGTTTATAGTCATGTATAACCAATAGTAATCAAAAGTTGATCTTCTTAAAAAATATCACCTCAAGTTGATACCTCGACCAATATAGAGCCGCCATCTTGCATTCATAAAAACGGCACCAAAGTTGATACGTTAAAACACCTGACTATGTTGATACCTCTTTCCGTCGTATATATTGGTTTATTTTAAAGCCTATCTTATGGAATTAGTTTTACTTCTTTGTCTTATAACATCTTAGACTGATACTTCCTTAAATGTTTAGTTTATAGTCTTTAATAACCAACCAATAGTAATCAAAAGTTGATCTTCTTAAAAAATATCACCTAAAGTTGATACCTCGAACAATATAGAGCCGCCATTTTGCATTCATATAAACGGCACCAAAGTTGATACGTTAAAACACCTGACTATGTTGATACCTCTTTCCGTCGTATATATTGGTTTATTTTAAAGCATGTGTTATGGAAATTTGTTTACTTCTGTGTCTTATAACATTTTAGACAGTTACTTTCTTATATATTTAGTTTATAGTCTTGTATAACCAATAGTAATGAAAAGTTGATATTCTTAAAAATTATCACCTCAAGTTGATACCTCGACTTGTATAGAGCCATCATTCTGCATTCATAAAAACAGCACCAAAGTTGATACCTTAAAACAACTGACTATTGTTGATACCTCTTGATACGACAGCGCTCGGCCGAATCTAGTGGCGTCCACGGGAACTATCGGCCCAGCCAAAAATATTCCGCCGCGCCGATCGTGGGATCGCGATTTGACTACCGGAAGTCCACTTCCTGTCTTCTTTTTATCTTCTGCAAACTACACTGAACGTTATTTTTTAATTATTTCTGTAGCTAAAATATGTCTAGCTGTCTCGCAAAGCCTTCGTGGATTTATGCTTAAATTTTCTGTTAGTCAACGTACATATTCAGTTTTTTTCTCTGCAATCCAGGTTTGTGCAGATAAATAATTCAAGCGTGTAAACGGGGATTTAGGGAACAACGTAACCACGGGCCTTCGGTCCCTGAGGTCCGCGGTTTAAATCCTTCTAATCACAGATATAATTACTTTTAGCTTGATGATGCCTAAACAGTTCCGTGGTGAATACAATGTCCTAATATGTAAATGTAGGACATAAAATGAAAAATAATAATATGTTATTATTTATCTAATATTACCAATTCGTAATAAAATCAAACTGTCCTTGATAGTGGTGTAAAATTTTTAATTTTTTGAACTAATAATAATGGATTTAACAAATTGGAACGAGCTGGTTTGGTTGTAGAACTCAAGGCTTCGATCTCGAGCATTTGGGTTCAAATCCCAGTAATCACCAATTGAGTTTATCTAGGTGATAAAACAATACATAATGTTACTTATCTAATTTTATAAATTCATGATGAACTAGGGTATATTAATTGTCACTAAAAGTGTATTCAATATTTGTTATTGTATTATAACTAATATTAATGGATTTAACAAATGGGAGCGTGCTAGTATAGTCCTAGGAGTAGATTGTGGGGCGGTATTGATGTTATGGGTTTGATTCCCCCCAATTACTAACCAACCCTATCCAATTAGTAAAAATTATTAAGACTCAACAAGCTAAAATTACCAATTCGTGATTAATAGTGCCCAAATAATGGTACCGTAAAATGGTTGATTTTATTCGAACTAAAATTAATGTATTTAACAAGTGGTAGTGGGAGCAGCCTGGTCTAGTTGCAGATCGTAAGGTTTCGGTCACGAGGTTTTGGGTTCAAATTCCGCCAATCACCACTGTTCTTTATCTTGGTGATATAAATGCTTTAGGTTATTCATCTAATACTACCAATTCGTGAAAAATGATAATACTGCAACTGTCACTAATAGTGCTGTAAATAATTGTTTTTTTTTATTGTAACTAATTTGTATTGCTTTAAAAAATATAAGCGAGTTGTTCTAGAGCTAGAAGTACAGCGTGAAGCGTCTCCCAAAGTGTTGGGTTCAAATCCAGCTAATCTCTAGTACACTTTATTCAATTCACAAAAATATTAAAGTTTTCAAACAAATACATTATTACTAATTCGTGAGTGTTCTTATCATAATGGCATAAGTTACGGCATTTTATAATAACTAGGCTCAAATCCCTCCTAACACTAATGTTCTTTATAGTGATAATTCCCCTACTCTTTAGGCCTAGGGTGAATAGTAATGTGTTAACAGTTCTGAGTAATAGAGCCTGGCATTCTAGGGTATGATAAACAACTCGTACACAATAAAAAACCATTTCGTGCATTTAATAATTGTATAATAATTATAGTTAATTAATACTTAATACTTTATTCCGATATGGCGACCACACCAATGTAGGTATGTTAAGCCAAGTATGAATTGAAGCATTAAAAAACGAACATAAATATGTCATTCAGAAGTGAATGGAAGGGAAATAACATGGTCCAATCATGCCAGACCTACCTAACAATGAGTCTGATACCTACCCACTTTTAACGTTGCGTCTGCATTTGGAACACACTTTTTGTTATAGAAAGTAGGTATTATTAATTCAAAGTGGTTTGATATTTGTCTACAATGGACAAAATTTACACTGTTGACTGATTTTCCATCGAGACTAATGCCAGGGATTTTATTTTACATCGATCACTTCAGACCTGCTTCAGACTAGCCCTAGAGGCTGCGGCATTATCACTTGAATAAAATCCATAGGAGATTGGCGGAAATTGAACTCTGGACTTCCAGTGCCGAAGTCCCACGCTCTCCTACACGACCAGCTTGCTCCAGCAGTTCACGGATTAACCATCAACAGACTGATAATTAATCATTATTTGCTGACTAATTATCACAAATTATTCTACTGTTACGATTCTTATTAACTTACCGTTGTGATTGGCAATTTTCCAATGATTCGGAACTCACCTGCACTTGTAGATTGCTAACAAATAGGTAACGTTTTAAAATTATTAAAGCTTTGCCAATGTTATTTTACTATCATCAGCTTTGGCTTGATATTTTGGAACAAACTTTCTTCTTATATATATGTGTAAATTAATGAGTGTTATAGAATGTACAATTTCACAGAAAAAAATTATTGCAATCCCAATTTCATAAAAAGGCATAATTATCAGCGATGGTAAAAATCAGCGATCAGTCGTTAAACGTTGGTTGTAGATTGGTTGTCACATTGTATTGTTGATTGAAGATAACCTTCAATAAGTGTTCTGAATAAGTGTTCAGTTGTTCTGAACCCACCTTTGGTTCTTGGTTGTAGATTAAACTGTAAACAATTTTAAATAGTATTTTGCCAGGCAATGTAAACAACAACAGCCATACCATATTGTATAGTCAATGGTAATATTGTTTTGTTAGATCAAGTTAACATTGTATGTGTTTATAAGCT